TAAAAGTAGATAGTAAAAATAAAACAAGAAATAAGGACCGGCCTGCAAATAAAGCATGTAAAAGGATTGCAAACAAGTGGCAGGAGAGGGAATTCTCACTGCTTTTTTCTGTGTAACAACAAAGAGAATTGGAGATGTGGTGAGAGTTGGAGTATGATAATTTTTTGCTTTCATCTCACATTTCATCGAAGCATTGGCCAGATGGATAACAGGGAGCGGGCAGGAATCTATCCCGGGGAGCGATGGTTCATTCATGCCAAAGGGCTTGTGTCTTATCTTACTCCCCTGCTTCATGCCAGTCTCTGGCCATGGACAACCGAGCCATGGAGCCTGCAGCAAGCACGGGGGCTGGGATGTGCTGTGAGCACGGACTTGATCCTGTCAGAGGGAACTAGTATAGAGTCAAAAGTGAATGATTTGCAGGAAAGCAGGCAGGGATGGCAGAGCAGAAGCTGCTCAGAATGAATTGGCTGTAAGGGAAAAGCCAGGTAAGCATTGTGTCTGATATGGGAGAGCTGGTAATGGGAATGTTTGAAGGATAGGGAAGAGCCTTAGCTTGCTGTATATTAGAAACACAATGGCGATCAGAAAAGTAGCCGAATGAAAGTGTTACTGTCTCCTTTTTTAGGATTTCCAGACCAGTGTAGCTGTGGAAGAGTTGAGAGGAAATTCAGCAACAGAAGCCACTGTTAGGGCTTGGGTGTGTTTGTACCTGTTTGATGCCCTCTCATCCTTCCCTTTCTACAGCTTTGAGGATGATGTGGCCAGCTGAACGCAGATTTTTCTGTGTCCGGTTTCTGCTTCCAGTGCCTTAGTCGTCGTGGTGATATTGGTAGAGGAGGCCAATTGAATTCTTAGATTCCTTGTGACTCTTGACATTTGCAGAATACCTCCTGGTTTGTAAGCTTGAGTGCACTTAATGATGAAGCCTTCTAGAGAGAAGGAGTGTGCACCCAAATGGTGCTATTGACAGAGTTTCTCTGCTCTAACTAAGGATTTTCTATCGCTAGCTTCACGATTCCATCAATAATGTGACTGGGTAGTGCAAATCATTATAATTACTCCTGGTGCTTCAAGCAAAGGCATGTGTGTCAAGCATGTTAAGGGCAGAGCAAGGAGAGGAGACTGCTTTGAGGGGGATCTTACATGGGGAAACAAGTGGAATACACTGAGTGTGATGGGGGGAAAGAGGAGACCTGCCTGTGGCTAGAAGGGAATTTGCCAGCCTAAGACAAGATTACAGGTTCTGTTCCTTCTAGATGTTTGCTTCTCTTTACCCAGCTGCTTCGTTTTAATTTTCCAGGTCCCGATGCATTAAACTAAGGCATGGGCAGTAATTTAGCTATTGAGCATACAGGAGTGCCCTGGTTCATGGATGGGAAGGGCTTAGATGCCAGGTTACAGAGATGGGGCATGGTACTGATGCTTGACTGCAGTGCGATAGGCAGCTCAATATGGATGCAATCGGTCTGGGGCCTTATCTGCAAGAATCGGGCAGCTACGCTGCACTCACTTCACTCAGCCTTCTCCCTGTACCTATTTTACTTCGGTTTCTGGACAAACACAACAACATCAGCCTGCATCTGCAGAGTCTGAAATGCTAAACTCCTCTCTGAAGGTATAACCCCTCCTCGGAAGGTTGGGAATCCAAATTAGGAAAGAAAAGAGCCTCCTGGGCTTGTTCCACTCCTCATAAAACGTGGCCTCTTGCTGAGTAGGATGCTGAATAACTCTAGCTGTCACTGTGAGCCCTCCAGAGGGGAAGAAGGGGATTGCTTTCTTCCCCAGCAGGATGGGGCTTCCAAGCTACACATTCTTGGAAGTAAGAAAGCCTTCTGAAGCTGCCGCTGTAGCACCTCCCGCAAGGAGAAACCAGGGCTATAGTTTTTGTCTGATGCTTAACCCTACTGAATTTTTAGGAGAGGAGGAGAAGATGACAGAAACAGGGATAGAAAAGTAGCTGAGATGAAGAAGCAGAGCTGTCTGGAATGGAAGAAGTGACTACGTTTCTTTTGCCTTGAGAAAACTTTTACAAATTGAACATGTTTTCAAAGCCTTTTCTAAACTTGCTTTCTCTGCCTTTATTTGTATACTTTCCTTTATTGATATAGTTCTTGTTAGTTATGTCCTTCCCAGGCTTTGAATAAGATTCACAGGCACTATTTCCTCTGCCTGTTGAGATGCTGTTTCTAGGGGGTTTTCCCCCTCTAGTTGCTCTGAGATTTGCTTTGGGGTTGTATTTTATTCATTCATTTTCTGCCCCGAGTCTCTTTTGTGAAGTATATATTCCTTTTCATAGATAATGTTACCTTTGGCCCTCCTGTCCTCCCCTTCTGATCCTCTTCCTGTTCTTTGCATGCCCCTTCCTCCTTCTCCATCCCTCTTACGGCTGCTCCCCTGCTGTTTCAGTTCAGTTGTCAAATGGACTAGTCCTGTCTTCCCTCCGCCTGGCAGGCTTCCCTTTGAAGCTCTGTAGCCCTGCTCTGAATCTGTCCAGCTGGCCTCAGGCGTTGTCTGCAGTACAGGAAGATGCTGTGCAGCTGTACTTCAACAGCTCTTTTGGTCTGAAGTTTGGAAAACGGTTTAGTCAAGTTGCACCACTTAAAACGCTAATATGATTGAGGTTTTTGGGGAGCTAGAGAAGTGCAGGGATCATTTCACATGGGTGAGACCTCAGTGTTGGTTGTCTTTTTGACAGAGAACCCCCTCTACATGTGAATCAAATAATGATTGGCAATCAGAGACTGATTGGGAAACATAGGTAACTCCTGCCTAAATCTATGAAATGAGATGCAAAAAGCTGCAGCAGGTGGGAAGGATGGTAAAGAAAAATATTATCAAGAAACTATACTTGTGTCTGTAGCGTATAGGTAGAGTACTTAGATATTGGGGGGGGGATTTTACAAGAGACTTATCTTTACTAAAAGTAGCTTATGAAATTTTGCCTATGATTTAAGGCTGGAAAGGATAAATTTGGCCTATAAGCAGGATGAAAATATCCCACTGGTGTTTGTGGAGCGATGTGCTGCTAAGAGAGGCAGTAGGTAAAGCACACCTCTCTTATTGCAGCTGGAAAAACTGGGGCAAAGGCCCAAAGACTGACTGATCAGTCAGTGCCAATGCCGGCAATTAAGTGAGAATCATCTCCTCGCCCCAGTCCTACCTGTCAGCCATTAGGTCGTGTTTTCTTTCCATTATACAGAACAATTAGGCACATTACAAATGCTGAGAAGTTGTATCCTCTAGCTCTTTGAATCAGAAGTTGGCAAAGTAAATGTTTTGTTTTAAAACAATATTTGTGCAGATTTTAGTGTAGGAGGGTTAATTTGTCAGTGAGTAACATCACACTATTTTACCAATCTTTGTATGAGTGTTTAGAAATTATTGGCTTGTTATAGCTCTAATTATAGCCTTGCTCTGATCAACAAAAAAAAAAAAAAATACAGACAGCAACTTTAAAAAGATCAGGGCGAGGTGGTGATGGTGGGGAGAGATTTTGGCTTTCTTTTAATTTTTCACTAGCTAGCTTAAACTTGTCCATTTCTACTCACTGCATGCTTGGCACAAAATAAACTTTTTTTCTATATCCAAGTAACACTCTCCTTCATCTTCAAAAATCCCCTGATTGAACTGAGATTAAAGTATAAGCTTTCTTGTGGTTGAGGATTGTTGGCCAAGCTACAGGAGAGCAGGGTTGAAATCCTGATTTGTACATATCTGGTAGGACAAGTCTTTGTTCTTTGATTCATTACAAGAAACACTTGTAGAGTAAGTACATCTGTTCCAGATTGACAGCTTTGCCTTGAACCACACATGGGAAGGTGGGTGGAGGGCTGGACTACCTGAAGGAAAGAAGGTTTAGGATGAGAAGTGAGAGCAGCAAAGCTTCAAAGCAGCTAGAAGGGAACTCTGCTCAGGATGTGGTTACGAATCTAGTGTCTGTGTCTCCCATCCTCCAGACACCCATGCGCTTTTCAGTGTCTATGAGTGATGGGAGCTTATTTTACATCCCAACTGAGCAGTAATAACTCTAGAAAAATGACTAGCAGGAATACTTAACGCTATTTCTTGCAACACTTTCAAGGCTTCTCTGTCAATTACTGATCCACCCTGATCTTTGATTGTAATAGCTGGCCTGAGTATAGCATTACATAGCTGTCAGATGAGGCAGATGACTTAACGTGTCAGAGCAGTGTTCTGGCTGTAGTACTATACTGGTCTAGCATGCAAGGCACTTAGCTGTGGCAGCCCAAGGTCATGCCACCATTGCAACTCACAACAACAGAAAATGCTAGCTTTGATGAGGAAATCATGGTATGAAAATTCTAAAGTCAATGATACGTGCACAATTTTAGTCACAGGAGTTTGAAAGATGTGTCAGGCAATTTCTACATGTGACTATTGATACTGCAGCCAATTTCATTCCGGAGTGATTTTACAGAATTTAAACTGTGGTTCTAACCTGATTCTTCCCAATATCTACATTCTCACTGGTTCCAGACAGCTTGTTTTGTCATGTTTTCATAGAAAATACAGTAACGATATTTCACGTGGTTTTGTGTACAAGTAGTGTTACCTGACCTACGTTTTGATTTAATTTCCAATAAGGGTTAATAAAGTTCTACTGTAACTTCCTTTGGAGTTTGAATTCTTGTAGTAGTTGTGATGTTCTGTGTTTTAGGAGTTCCTAGTTATTTTATTTTTAGGGTTCTGTAAGGATGTAAGGTTCTGCCACAGCAATAGGCAATGTGGCTATTTCTGGCTTATATGGTCTTAATTAAAGAAATACTTGGACTGATATCCTAGTTTATAGGATAAAAATTCTGTCTGCCACAAACTGAACTAAGTTATTTTCATGCCTAATAGGTGTTTGATAACACTATATAGTCAGCTGTGCTTGTGTCTTTGTTAAATGGATACCTTGGTTAGCAGAACTGAGGTGTTGCTTTGTTCTCTGTTACTGATGTGCTCATAACTGCACCTGCAGTCATGATATTTAACTTTCCATCATGGACTGAGGCTCCTAAATCCTAAATGGGGAAGTTCATTTTAACTCCTTGGTAGCTGGGTGCATGGGGTAATAAAAACACCAATCCAAGTAGACAGCATTCTTCAGTTTTCAGGAGTTAACGAGACAGTCTTCACACCCGCCTGGATCTGGGGGCAGAGATAACCACGGCCCCTACACAGCAAGGTTTTTCCTACATCCCTTGAAGGCTTCATTGCCTGAGGTGGTGGACCAGCAGGTGTTGTGTGACCTTCCCTCGTAGGCACCTCCAGCAGAGCCAGCGTATGGAGTGGCTCTGTGGTCCTGCAAAATGACGCCTCTGCCCACATGAACGCATGTGACTGCAGCGGGGTGGTGCCAAGAGGCTGTGTGGGTCTGGTCCTTCATCCCAAAGCGTGAGAGCTCCTCTGAAACTCCTCAGAAACGTCGCTCGCCAAGTTGTTCGGTTTTTCAGTGTCCATGTCAAAATATGATCCTCTTAGGTACAATGAAATGCTTGTATGCCTTTTTCATGTTCAGTGATAACATCATCATTTGATTACAAAATATTTATGAAAAGTGAATGATGATAGTCTGTGGTAGAAAAGACATTTTATCGGCTGTATCAGTACAAGAATTTTCTTAAATGTATCATATATCTGTGGATATTGGTATTATAAATAGAATTAGATATACTGGGAATGAGAGAGTTCCCCAGTGAAGTTGACTTAATTTTTTTATAAATTACTTACTAATCAGTTTTATATTTTTAGCTGTATGTCGCTAGCATTTAATTGCTCAGCAGAGGGAGGAGGAAGAGTCAAGTCTCGTGAGCAGGAACAGAACTTCGGCAGCATGGCATTGCAAAATTCAGTTTTCCTGCAGCAAGTAGTAGCTTGCTCTTTTTTTTTTTTTTTTACTCCTCTTTGAAAGAACTTCTGTAAATAGCATCTATGTCTATACCTGGTTCAACCTCCTGGATATAGGTTATGGGTAGATTTAGTTATTGCACTTGTGCAGGATAGCTACATGACACAGCACCGTGTTGAGGTTGCCGAAGTAACTCTAGACCCAGAAGTGATAAAAGTACATCATGTCTGTGCATTTGCTGAGCTTTCTAAACCCTCTGAGAGGCCAGTGTGGCTGCGCTCTTTCCCCAGCTCCAGATGCCATTGGCACTTGACTTACCTGGGTGTGTGTGACGCTGTTTAACACTTTTTGTATCGGCCCCAGTTTATCACTGTTTATAGCTCTAAAGCCTCTGAGGTTGAAATTAAAGCTGGATTTCTTTTTTCTTTTTTTTTTATTTTTCCATTTGGACAGTTGCTTTTTGAGAGTGGAGGGTGAGTTCCATTGCTTTACCGGAAATAATAACAATATAAACATTAATAATTTACATTTATTTTGCAACAATTTCTTTGGAAGGGCTTATGCTTTGGAGCAGTGGGTAGAGTTGTCAGGTAGGTGCCTCTTGCTTTTCCAGTTAAAATCTACCTTGTTTAGGGCAAACCTTGAGCTCTTGATAATAGCCATTTGTTTAGGTTTTACGGAGGTTTGTAGGTTGTAGAATGACAGAATAATTCAGGTTGTAGGTCTCTAAGTCTTCTGCTCAAAGGCAAAGGCTCAAAGGATCAGGCGTGAGATCAGACTGGGTTGTGCAGGGTTTGACCATTCAAGTCTTGAAAACCTCAAAGGACAGAGATGGCACAACCTGTCTGGGCAGCCTGTTACGCTGCCTGGCTGTCCTGATGTAGAAAAGAAATACTTATTTCTGCATTGAGCAAGGTTGGGAGGGGTTTCCAGTAGCTTCTCCCCTGGCTTCTGTCATGTCAGGAGCCAGAACTGAGACTGAAGGAGACATTTTCTTTAGTTGCAGTGTTCTGCTGGGGCTTTCAGTGAGAAAGCTCTCATTGAAACACAGGCTGGCATCCAGATGGACTGGGGAAGGGAGAGGTGGGTTATAGGGGAGAAGAGAGCAACAGAATGGCAAGGGGCAAATCTCTGGGGCACAGGACTTGCAGTCTTTGGAACATTTCTCTGGGGCCTGTTTTTTAGCCTATGCCTCATCTCCAGTGACTGTCCCTCCTTGGAGTGTGTATAGAGGGGGAGCTCCGTGCCTTGTTTGCTCTTGGTATAGGCGCACTGACAGGTGGACATGGCAGAGAGGAGGTCCTCAAACTTTCCATGCTGCCTTTTTGAAGTGTGTATTTCACCCTCTGCCTCGTCCAGTTTGAGAACTGCTTTTAGGCAGAGGGGGATGTGTCCAAAGAAGAGCAACAAAGCTGGTGAAGGGTCTAGAGAACAAGTCTTATGAGGAGCGGCTGAGGGAACTGGGACTGTTTAGCCTGGAGAAGAGGAGGCTCAGGGGAGACCTTATGGTGCTCTACAACTACCTGAAAGGAGGTTGTAGCGAGATGGGTGTCAGTCTCTTTTCCCT